CTGAGTGGACGTGGCCTCCGCCCCGCCCGTGGGCGGCTTTTCCCCCTCCTTTTACAAACCGCGTGCATCTCTTAATTACGGCTCCTTTTAATGACGACTGGAGTGAGATCACAGGTCCGGGGTTAGCAGCGCTGCAGACAGGTCACACCGCGCGTACAAAACCAGGACGGATTCGCAGGAAACACCGGCTGAGCGCCATCACCCCTCGCAGCCCAGCTCAGCCCCCTGTGCCCCGGCGCGGCCCCGCTGCCCAGCCCCAGGGCTGCATTCCGCCCAGCACCTGCGCCACAAACGGGATTTCTACGTGATGCTGACACTGCAGCGCTTCCACACGTGCCTGGGAACTCCCCCCCGTGAGCACACGCCGGGCTGGGCTCGCCCTGAGCCCTCACCACGCTCAGCAGCAGCTCTGCCCCGCTGGCTTCCAAGCAGAAATATGAAATAAAAGGGTGCAGGTGAATACTTGCCTTAGGGAGCGTTGTGATGTTAACTGCAGCAATAATGACCTCGGCTGAGGGCATTTCTGGTAAATACTGGCATTTTTCTTTATTTTTTAAAATGAGTGCCCACAGGTGCCCGTTTATCTAACACGCTAGAAGCAAAAACATTCAGGAGGGAGGACTTTGCTATTATTAGTTGTTTCATTCCTGCACTATGCAAAGAGCCATCTTACTGGTGCTTAAGTGTTCTTGCTTTAACAGCCTGTTCTTAATCAGCAAACCATGTACTGAATTTTAAGCATGTGGTCAAATGGTACACGGGGAACGCAGTGGGACTCAGGCTAGTTCATAAAGCCAAGCTGCTTTCTCCAGAGATGGACATAAGCTTGTGCTGAAACAGATTTCTGAGCTGGGAACATGGACAAACAGGATGTCTAAACACAGCACTGGGCTGAGGCTCTGCCTCAAAAAGCAGTTTGCTTCTGAGCCATAGTTTAACAAGCGTACGCCCAGGTTTCGCCCAGAGAGACACATCCTGCCCCCAATTTCCCATCAATCTGCAGCACAAGCTCACATAAAGCACTTCTGGGAAAAGGTGGAGGCACTGGGGGGGGAGACACAGAGTAAACAAAGGCAAATCCTTGGTCCTCAAGTCCCTCAGCTAGCAACAACACCCCCAAGAAATGATCTAGCTCACTGAAGTCTCCCTCCGTTTGACACAGGCAGTAAGGCAGGGCTGTGATCCCCACAAAGTGAGAAGGGGCCAGCCCAAGAAGGCACAGAAAGGTTCCTCAAGCCAGGCATCCTTGTACAACCCACCCCATCTCTTTCTGTAACAAGCCCTTCCACCTTTGCAGCTCGTTTCACTGCCAGCAGCTTGCCTGTGGCCAAGTTCCCCTCCTTTGGCAAGTGGGGCTGAGCAACCTCCTCAGAAAGGCCTAACAAGGTAATGTCTGTACAGTGCTTAAGAACATGCAAAGTGCAATATAAGTGCCAAATGTTCTTATTTTAGAGATTAATGAACACTCCAAGAAATATAGGCACTGAGGTAACTATAGCTTATGTGCTACATTCCCTCATGATTCAAAACAAGTTCTAGGAGCTTGGATTTTTGTTTTAAATTGTGATTAAACACTGCATATGCTTTTCCTTTTTCACTCCTCTATTGGCTCTGCCCAATATTGGACCCAAGATTCAACAGACTAATGCTCTACTGGACGAAACCAAACCCTGCATCCCTATGTGTGACAGATTTAAGACATGGCACAAAAGAGTCAATAGCACCCCTAAACAGTAAACAAATACTGCTGTAAAAAGTACCAGAATCCAGCTGGTTTTCAATTGTTGAAAAAAAAAACACTGAAAACATCCCAACAAGGTACCAGCGAGACCCAACCCCTGGGTGTGCTGAAGCCCTGACAGCTGTTGTAGGTCCTGCTTAGTGGTTTCATTCTCTTCTCTTCCTCCAGTGCTCCTGTCAAACGTTCCCTTCCTCGATGCTCTGCAGCTGCAGCCTCTGGCTGGCGTGGGGCCTGGCAGCACGCCGGGTGTTCAGGCTGCCCCCTGGCAGAGCTCGGGCAGGGAGCAGGGCTCCTGGCACAGCATCTTCCCCAAACAGGCTGATTTTCACATCAGCTTCAATAGCTCGTGCTAAACTGGATGCGTAACTCTCCAGAGACTTATGGACCTCAGCTTTTACATGAAGAACAGGATTCTTTGCAGCTTCTGGAAAATAAAAACCATAAAGCAAGGTATAAGAAAATTAACAGTTGATTAGCATGACTCCATAAAGGCTTGAAGACTAATATTGATCCTTTGGTGAAGGTATGACCAAGCCCTCTGCAAAATAACTACCCTACAGAGAGCATTTGCCCAGGGTTCCTAAACCATTCTGTGGACACAAAGCTTCAGAGTGACCTTGAGGGGTCAAGCAGAGAAAAATTAACTCCAAGTGAAGTGGAAAAATAATAAGAACTGATGATGCAAAGTGTTTGTACACCTAAGTTTAATTTGGAACCAAGTGTATCTTGAGGGACTTTGTGAATCTGAGCACACAGGATTTTATTGGTCTGGGTTTGTGCCCAACTGAAGTTAACAGCCTGATTTCTGCTTACTACCTGGAGTCCAGGATGAGGGATAATAGCAATTGTCTGGCATCAGGCAGGAATTCATGCAGGAGAGAGGAACAGAACCCTCCATTTGTACTTTGTCTGCAGTAAGAACAGCTTGCAACCCCTTACAGGCATTCTCAGTGTGTTTGGACTAACTTCTCACACTTCATCCCCAAATCCCAAGGGCTTCTTCCAAGTAGCAATTAAAATCAGCAGTCTGCTGTCCCTAAAATTGTTCCAGCCACACTGTGGGACCCACTTTGACTTCCCATGGGGAAGTTGTAGAGCTCTCTATGCCAGAAGAGACTGAAGACTGCTGTTGCAGACAGCAGTGGACTTCTTCCTCATCTTCTATTACCTTGTATACACCTGCTCTTCAGTGTTGATGTAGCTGGTTTTGTAGCATCTCTATACAACTCCACCCACCATCACTTAGGTCAAGCCCCTGTGCTGCCCAACATGTAACTCTTCAGTGAGGCTGCTGAAATAATTTCAAGTCTCAGAGAGCCTGAAAACCCTGAAACATGCCACAGAGCCACACTAAGACCTCCCTCTGCCACTGAACTGCACAAAAATCAGATGCCTGCCCCTACATAATCACTCAGAAAGAGAATGGGAAACATATGGTAATGCTTTTGTCCAGGGGAACTATCAGCTCGTGCTGGGGAGAGGACAAAAGTAAATTCTGCCAAGATGTTTGGCAGAAAATTCCACAGAAAGAGTCTTCTCAGTATTTCAGAATCATACAAATCAGTCAGGTTTTATTATTACTTCGTTCTTAAAGGCATTCTGCTCATTTTTGTGCTGTCCACAATAGTTTCTTGTTTATTAAATTCAGTTATTATAAAGTCTTCTAGTCCCTGTTATCAAAACTATCAGCTTGAACTAAACCACCTTTGACATATTTTAGAGATGATCACAGCCAAGGCTTTGCTAGCACAGAATAAACAAATGAGTAGACTGAAGAAAAAGTGCATGTGGTTCATCTCTTTTCCCCAGTACCTGCTGAGAAACATACTCAAAGTAACTGAAATTAAGTAAAAAAAGTGAAACAGAATGAAATGAAACAGATGAATTTCAAGTCTGTGAAGGACAAAATTGAGACCAGGCAGTACATGAGAGGCACTGGGATAATGGAACCAGTGTAAGGGCAGGAAAACATATTTCCTGGGAAACACAAAACAGGGCCCACCAGCCACTAGGGGAGTGGAGCTGCAGAGAGGATGCTGCTGTGCAACATAAATGATGTGCATGCAGGAACCCCAGCTTCAAACTCTTGTCCTTGTCTGTTGCTCCTTGATAGCTGGAAGACCTGATCTTACTTCCTGTTCTAACTGCATGAATGGTCATGTCTCTCAAGGTGAACTGTGGTCATATATGTTTTAAAGCAATTCTGAAGGTCTTGGGAGGCTTCCTCAGCAGGCAACATGGTTGGTTGTGAGCATTTCTATACTTACCTCTAATCCCACCTTTAATTTGCTCTATTTCATCTTCAAAGGTGACTGAGCTCCTCCTTCGAGGAGGACAGATGCAGTGTGGGGCAGGAGGGCCATCTGAGCTGTAATCTTCAAGAAGCATTGTCTCTGTTCCTGAAACAAAACAAGAGTTCTCAAGCAAAACAGTAGCACTGGGATACAATATTTAAAGGGTGGCAAAAGCTTTTCAGACTATAGCAGTTCTTTCAAAAGATGTCTAAACCCAGCTTTTCTTGAGGAAATTTCAGCTCCAATTAAACACTGCACAGAAAATGAATGGGGTCAGAGTTTTAACTGAAAGGATTTGGAAATGTCTTCTCAGAGGCTAACAATGCCTACCTGAGAGGCAGATGACCACAGCTGCCCAATGGCATGCTTGTCATCAGATCTGAATGGAAATCTGGAGAATTTTTCCACCCAATTTAGTCTGTCTCTAATAACTTCTCAACTTTCTTGAAGTGTATGTTAATGGGGAAGAATCCCTTGCTAGATGTGTTTTTTATTTAATCACCCTGCATTTGCTTTGCATTTTTCCCCATATAAAATAGTTTCCAAGCACAATGGGGAAAAATCCCTTGCTAGATGGGAGTCTGTTTTTTATTTAATCACCCTGCATTTGCTTTGCATTTTTCCCCACATAAAATAGTTTCCAAGCACAAGGAAATTAATGTTTGCATCTGCACAAGGCTTTCACACCAAGGGCAGGACTGCAGCCTCCACCTTCCTGGCAGTGCTGGTCTCTGCTGCATAAGGGGGAAGTGGAGCAGGCATTTTGGGGAGATGCTTGGACACTGCTGAGTGAGCAGTCCTCAGGGAAGCTCCTGTTGGAAGGCAGGGCTTGCACACATTTGGTGTGTGACACAACTATCAGCCTATTTCCTCCTAGCTTCACATCCCTCCTCACCCACTTGACTGCTTTTGATCCCCAAATTTACTCTTTTTGCAATAAGGAGGTGTTCCAGCACCCATTTTACAGAGTGACATCACTAGAGGTGTATCTCTGCACAACATACTGCTCCACAGGTCTCCTCTTTGCTGACAATTCACTGTGATGTTACAAAGTGATAAACTTCTTAAGGTTAAACTTGAGTGTCATGTCAGATGTCTCCCTCCAGCACACAAGAAAGAACAAGCTGCTGCCTTAATACACAGTCCCAAATAAGAGACTAGCCTCTTTTTCTTACAGGTGGACCTTCATCCATGACATAATTATCTTAAGGCAGCATTTCTAGCAATTGAGACTCATATTTTGTGTACAGCTGGCATCACTTGGCTTTCCTCCTCTCCTACCACTTCATCTGTTTTTCACAATGCAGGAAAATACCAGAAGATTGGTGAGGAGGACTGTAAATGTGCTCAAGAAATACTCTTTAAAATAACTGTAGTGCAGTAAAGGAGTGGCAGCTGAATTAACTGCCAGAGAAATCTAGCTGTAGTTCTGATTAGAAAATTATTGGCAGGACTCTTTTTCCCTTTTCCAAATGAGACTCAGGTCTTGCTTCATATTTGTGTACAGCTGGCACCACTTGGTTTCCTCCTCTCCTACCACTTCATCTGTTTTTCACAATGCAGGAAAATAAGAGAAGATTGGTGAGGAGGACTGGAAATGTGCTCAAGAAATACTCTTTAAAATAACTGTACTGCTTACAGGAGTGGCAGCTGAATTAACTGCCAGAGAAATCTAGCTGTAGTTCTGATTAGAAAATTATTGGCAGGACTCTTTTTCCCTTTTCCAAACCATCATCAACTGACAGCTCTGAAGCAGTGATGCAACCAGAAGCTGAAGCCATCCTAAGTGTTTGTGTTTACACTGCAGGATGAACAAGACAAGGTCTCCTACAAACTAGAAAATGGAGAAGCATTTTCTCCACAGCATTTTGGTTGTTCTGTTCCTTGTGATACAGGGAAAGTCTCTGGAAAAGGGCAGAAACTAAAGGAAAAGGGCATAAAAGCAGCAAGTTCTGTTCCCAGGACATGTTACCAAGGGAGGGTCATCATTACTCAGAGTAAACAGTATTTTGCAAGTAAATATATTGAGAGCAAGAAAGTTAAAAAGGAACTGAGCAGTTTTGTTGTCACAGCTGGAACAGATGCTTCATGTCATCCACCCACCAAGAGACATCTGTGTGTGTAAAAACAGACTGTCCCAGAGAGATCTGCCAAGCTACAAGTGCAACCCTCTGCCCAAGAAAAGAGAGCAAGGAACTTTCAGTTACCTGAATCCTGTGAGCAGCTGAAACCTGTGTCTCCTGTGCTGCTGCTGTTTCCTAAAGGCCGCCCACCTGCCATGAGGGCAGTAAGGTGAGGAGAGAGTCCTAAATCTGCAAGAGAGTTTTGTTCTTGTTACACAGGAAACGTTTAAGGGGTCCTCAAGAGTAAAAACCTCTTCCAGAAACACCCATCCTACTGCCTTATTTCTTACTGCACACATAAAACCCACCTTGCTAATCCAGAGCACACAGCATCTGGACTTCCCCTCTTAGAAATCCCACCAGCAGCTTTCAGGTACCCCTGGAGTCTTTTCCTCTGGCAAGCTTCCTTTCTGCCTGCACTATCTCCCTCCCACTCCTTTTGCAATTGCACATGTTCTATCAGCCAGACAGGCTGAACATGGAGCACACACACAGAGGTGTGGATATCTGCCAGACATCTTCTAGGCAGAGGATCACCTGGAGCCACCAGCAGCTGTGACAGGCCATTAGCATGGCAGGGAGCTCAGGGGCAAGGCTGGGGCACCACCACACCTGGCTTCTTTCAAATCCCCAGAACAAGAAGGGAGGAGACTCCAGGGTTCTTCCAAGAGTGCTGTCTTTGGATCCCATTCAGGATTTTGTTGTGGGATTGGTTGAGGGTTTTTTCCACCCTCTCTCCCTGTCAGCCTCCAGCTCACACACCTGATAAATTTGAAGCTGTCAGCTTGTTATCACTTGGAAAGAGAAAGAAGTTTCCCATCTGTTCCCTCCCATCTCAGTTCCCAGTTCTCATCCACAACATCTCCTGGACACAGATTTGCCAAAGGGAGGAGCATTAAGAGAGCTCCTGCAGCTTGTGATGTGGCTGCAGCTGCAGAACTCTTGGGAGACTCTCCCAGCAATCCCAGGTTGCAGAAAAAGAGAACAGACACCTTGCTGCTCTCCCCATCCTTCTGCATTTTAAGTCTTCCTTCCCAATTACATGATCTCAGTTCCTGCCTCTGCATGAAATGTCTCAATGGACCACATGAAGATGCCCTGTTTTTGGAAGCTTCTGAACTGGATAAGGGAAATAATCACAAACCAGAACTTTGTTGCACTGCTACTCTAAAAAACAAGGTGCAGAAAACCAACAGACTTTGAGCAACTGAAGCTTTCAGCCTGCATCCTGGGAAGACATCAAATAGTTTTACTCTGTAAAAGAGTTTTACTTTGTTTATGATCTTTTCTTCACACCCTTTAAACCTAAAAACTGAATTTGCAGAAATAGTAACACCAGTGTAACTTCAGTGAATCTCAGTGAGTTGTAGCAGAAAGCCAGGAATCAAAGAAAAGGGCTCAAATCTGGGTAACACAAAACAGCAGGCAGGTGGAAGGAAATGATGGAGAGGGAAGAGAACACATTATTTTAATGAATCTCACCACCACGTCTTCTCTGACAGAGGAAGTTTTACTGGAGCAGAAAGAAGTTAACTCCCACAAAAAAAAAAACCTGCTCCAAGTGCCTATGACAACATGAACAAAAGACTCTTGAAGCCTCCAGACACCTCCCACTCTGTTCAGGGAGGCCTGGAACATGCCAAGCACACACACAGAGCCGTCCAGCCTTGCCCTCACGGGTGCTAAGGAAGAGAGTCCTCTGCAGCCACCCCTCTTACCCGTGATCCTGTTGGAAATGCTGAAGAGCCTGGAGGTCCTGTGCCGCGGGACGAAGGGCTCGCGGTAGTACCTGTCCCCAAAGCACATCCCCAGCAGCTCCTTCCTCACCGTCTTGTTCCACAGCCCGTAGATCAGCGGGTGGCAAATGGCACTGGAAAAGGACAACCAGGTGGCTAGTGTCTCCAAGGCAGGGGAAATGCTGTTCTTCCCCCACAGCGCCTCCGACGTGATCACCACCATGTAGGGCCCCCACGTCACCACGAAGGCGCCGATGACGACCAGGATGGTGATGAAGGCTTTGCACTGGTTGGCTGAGTAGACAACCCCTTGGAAAGCGTTCCTTCGGCTGCCAGAAGAGGACGTGGAGGTGCTGGAGTTCTTCCTCCCGCTCCTCTGGGAGTCCTCCTCGGCGATGACGACGGAACCGCAGTGGATTTTGCGGGCCTTGACCCTCGCCACGCGGAATATGAACCCGTAGCAGATCATCATGACCAGGAGAGGCAGCAGGGCACACCAGATCTGCCAGAAGGCCGTGTAGCCAGCCTCTTTGTGCCAGGCCGCCACGCACATCCACTTGAACTGGTCAAACTCCAAAGAGGACCAGCCGAAAAGGGGAGGGAGGCAGCCGATGAGGGAATGGAGCCAGACGTACACGAGAGCTACCACTGCTCTGTTGCCTGTTATCTTCATGGGGTAGAGCATGGGGTACAGCACGGCGTAGTACCTGGTGGGCAAGAGGAGGAACAGTCAACAGGAGCACAAAAGATATGCTTTTTTTTTTTTAGTGTACATTTTAATCATGCTGATAACTAAATTCTCCTTTCTCCACACCCGACACGGGCTTAAGGGACCCTGTTTATAAAAATAATTACATGTAAAAATACACATCCTTGCAGGCAAGGTTGTAAAAGTTGGCTGAAGGCTCACATACAGCTGTTCCATCTGTGTCTGCCTGCAAGTATGGGCTCAGGGTATAAGCTGAAACTTTAAGTCATTATTACTTTTTCCTCAAAATGAATGTTATTATACCACCAATAGTTCAAAAAAAAGCCTAGATGCACGTCCACATTTTGTGTTATTGACAATATCACTTTCTCCTACCAGAAAAACATCAAAACTTGACAAGGGGATGAAGGAAAAAATCCCACTACAAGGGTACACAGTGTTGCCCACTGCAATGCTGCTTGATTTATGAAAATCCAACCAGGCAGTTGGTTACAATTTGTTAAAATAAAGAGCTGCTTACCTGTCTATAGCTATGAGTCCAAGAGTCAGCATGCTGGCCGAGCTGATCAGCATGTAGAGCAGGGCTGAGAAATTGCACCAAACCACCCCAAAGATCCATTCCCTCCTGATGGAGCTGGTGACGACGAAGGGCAGCACCAGCACAGAGAGCAGGAAGTTGGAGAGGGTCAGGCTGAAGACAAACTTGTTGCTCAGGGTGAGGAGGTACGACTTGCGATAGAGGGTGAGGACAACCCCCAGGTTGCCCAAGCAGATGAAGATGGTGATGAGGATGATGGCAATGGACTCTGTCACCCTGACCACCCCGTCCTCCTGCGTGGTGGCGTTCCTCAGGCCCTTCACGTGGCTCAGGGAGGAGTTGCTGCTGCTCATGGTCAGGGCGTGCAGAGCCGGAGCAGCCAAGACATGCTGAGCGGCTAGAAGCAGAACAAGGCTCTGAAACATTCAGCAAAGAGCTCTTCAAGCTCTCTCCCAAAGACTGGAGGCCCTTTTGCCTTAATTAAAATTTACCTGTAGGATGCAGGAAACCATTTCAGATGGGAAAGCAAAGGGGCAGGAAATGGCCTATGGGTGCACCAAAGAGGTCAGTGACAGAGCCAAGCCTACAACAGGGAAGAAACTGTCTAAAAGACAAAAAGAGGGGGAAACAAGGCCAAAAATTAGAAAATTTTAACAGTAAAATGCCCTAAGGGTCTTACTTATTTCTAAGCCATACTTACCAGCTGTGCATCTCATTCAGTCCCTTCACTTAGGCTGTGAAGAAGAAAGAAGAATGTCACTACCAGTCTCCATCTCACTTTAAAAAAAGAAACTTTTCTTAATTCTGTCTGTTTATCCTGCTTATTACTTTGTATTCTGCCTATACAGCGTTTCCTGATGGTCTGTGGATGCATGGCTACTCCCACCCTGCTGACTCTTTCTTAATAGTTGCTAAGTAGCATTCAAAGACTGGGGGATCACTACAGTACTCTCCCAACATTGCTTCTCCATGTTCATAATCACCTTAGCTACAGCTGTGAGTCCATTTTACTGGCAATACCAAAGGACTGGAGGAGATGGCTCTCTCTACATGAGGTTTGAAAGACACTTCCTTGCATTAAGCTGCAGTCCACCAGCCTGTCTGAGAACCTTTAACCCCTGATGTCTCAGTGTTAGCACCCATCCCACTGTCTCTTTTTGTGAAACCTTGGCCTTTCTCACAACTTCTTAGCAGCCTCTTCCCCGCTGTCTCCCACAGGCACTCCCATCTACTTTGTTTAACCATCTGCAAGCCAGCACACTGAAGAAAAAAACACCCCCAAAAATGCAAATATGCAAACCAGAAAACCGAGGAGTCCATCAATTAAAGCAAAGCTGGCATTAGCATTTCTGGGAAATTAGGGACTTGGGGAAAGCTATCTCAGCCAGCTCCGTGGCCATGCCCACCCATCACTCCCAAACAGCCCGGAGTACTCACAGAAGCCCTTGGTCTGCGTGGCTGCCATGGCCTCAGAGAGCAACGCTGGGCTGGAGAGCCGTGTTTTTTCCATTTTTATCTGTGTCTGCCCAAGAACATAATTAAAGAAAGACGTTACGGGGCCGTGCTTTGTAAAACAAAACTTAGCTCTCCTAAACTGCCTGCTGACTCCTTTCAAAAGCGCTTTTTTTCTTCAAGTTTCTCTCCAAACACGGCCGCCCCGCCCCTGGGAGCTTCTCCGATGCTTTTGGACGGGTGCAGGTTTTGGAAAGGCGCCTACCGCTCTTTCCATCCCCCCCAAACACGCCCCGAGG